GGCCGGCCCAAGGAGCTCAGCTTCGCCCGCATCAAGGCCGTGGAGTGCGTGGAGAGCACAGGGCGCCACATCTACTTCACGCTGGTGACGGAGGGCGGGGGCGAGATCGACTTCCGCTGCCCCCTCGAAGACCCCGGCTGGAACGCCCAGATTACCCTGGGCCTGGTCAAGTTCAAAAACCAGCAAGCCATCCAGACCGTGCGGGCCCGGCAGAGCCTGGGGACCGGGACCCTCGTGTCCTAAAGCGCCAGGCGATCCGTCTTGCCTTCATGCTCCCCACTACCGCAGTGCCCAGAGGTCATGCCAGGTAAGCCCCAGAGGCCTAGGCCCTCTTTCTTTCCCTCCTTTCCCCTACGGAGACACCCGGACACCAGCATTCGTTTCAGAATAGGACGATCTAGGGAGGGTTGCTGCGGTCAGCCAGGAGGCCTGGGCCGGTAGCCAAGTGACCTGAGCTGGACTTTGTCCTGGGGTGCTAGACCCAGGTCCCAAAGTGACCCAGGCATCTAAGAGGAAGATGGAAGCCCTGGGAGGGGGGCCCCAGGGTTGGCTTGGGGTGGGCCTTCCACAGCCTGACCCTTCTTTCAGGCTGCTGGGTCCATCCCACGCAGGGCAGCCCCTTGGACGGGAAGAACCCAGGGTGGGGTTGGACACCCACCCTTCTCCAGGGGGATGAATCAGGGAGCTCTGGCCTTGCCCTGAGGTTGGAAGACAGTGTTTCTGTTAGAGGAGGAGTCTTCAGGCTGGGAGAACGGGGTGTCCGTGTCCGGGCTCCCATGGTTGGGGCCTCTGGGAAGGCTTGGCTTGGCTGGGCCAGCGGGAGCCTCCAGCTCCCCTTCTGACCAGATTTTGCAACCTCAGACAGAGCTGTTGGGAGAGCAGGGGAGTTGGAGGGTGGAGAGCTAGGGCAGAGGCCAGACCACAGATGCCAAAGGGGTGGGCCTGGCCATCCCCTTGCCCATAAGTGCCAGCCAAAGCCTGGCTGGGTCAGAGCAGAAATGGGAGAATGGGGTGAGGCAGTGGGGGTGCAGGATGGAATTGTGCAGGATCTGAGTTCTCTGCGATGTTTCCATCCTCCTCCAGCAGTGGGGCAGGGGGCGGGGGCAGGTCTGTGGTCAGCAAGGCCCAGGGGAGGGAGGGACCAGGAATAGAACCCAGGAGCCCTGGCAGTCAGCCCCCGTGCCCTCTTTCCCAGTGCCACTCCCTGCCTGTGGGAACCAGGAGCAGGGGTGAGGAAAGATTATACTACTCGAGTGGTGGAAACCTATATCCCGCTCGCCCGGTCGTTCCTCCCGCACTGCCTCTCCTGCCTCACCCTGCATCTTCTCCCCTGCATCTTCTCCCCCCTCATCTTCTTCCCCGCATCTTCTCTGTTTCAACAGAGGAGGGTTCTGGTGAGACTGAGGGCCCCTCTAGGGCCAGGCCCTCTGGTGGTCCCCCTGCCAACTCTCTCCCGCATTGAACCGAGGATTGACCGAGAGGCCAGGGTCGGGCAGACCAGCTGTGCTGAGGGCTGATTCCCGGCGACCCCTCGGGCTTCCGCTCCCACTGACCGCCGTGGGTTGCATAGATTCCCTTTTCTGCGTTTGTCCTGGTGTGGAAAAGGCTGGGAAGCTTTGGTTAAAACCCGCGGCTCAGGGCACATGGTCTTCAGATGAGCTCCCTTGCCCTAACTGCTATTCTTTCTTATAGTTTTTCTGCCCCCTGGCATGGCTGTGCTCCACGTGGCAAGGCAGAAGCCATGGACTTGTGGAGGAGGCTACAGAGCTGAAGGAACACATGGGGCCCGGGGAGGAGGACAGAGGGCCCTGCAGGGCTGAGGATGAAGATTCAGCCTGGACACTCTCAGACTCTTGGGACATACAAGGTCTCCAGCCACAGGCCTGGCCTCATGTACCGTGATGGAGAACTGGCATCCAAGCCCCTTTCTGCAGACCGCCATCCGCCCCCGGCTTATGCGGTGCCTGGAGGAAGGCAGTCCCCTGTGGGCTGCAAAGCCAATGCTGGAGGACTCAGGAGGTCAGCCTAGTACCCAGAGGAGGAAGCACCCTGGGTCAGCCTCTGGACTCACCTTGGAGAAGGGCCAAGGCCCACCTCGGGGGTCTCCTGCTGCTTAGGTCCTCTGGGACCCCCACCTCTCCAGGCCCTCTCTTTGCACACTTCTTCTCCCCCCTCCCACTTGTCTCCCCCGCTGTGGTGCTAGGCCTGGAGGGGGTGGGGGAGGGGTGGGGTTTGGCCATTACCATTTCAGCCTATCCCAAAATGAAGATGCCCAGCAAAGGGCAATAACCGCATTGCGTGTTGAGCGAGCTTCTCTGCCCACAGACACAGGGCTTGGTGTGTCTCTCTCCACCCCTGCTTTCCCAATCCAGCCCATTCAGAAATCTCCACTGGAGGTGGAGACCTGCAACCCAGTAGACATGGCCTCAGTGGTTCTAGAAAGGAGGGGCTGCAGGACCTGGCCTGGGGGATGTCACACCGGCCAGCTCAGACCCTGTAGGTGCCTCTTCCGCAGGTTATGACCACCTGCTGTCCTGGGAGGTGGAACAGCTTTCTGGGCTGGCAGTCTGGGCAGGCTTTATGCGTTCATGCAGTAAGTCTTTCTCACTGGATTGTTTAAAAGAAAGAATTTAAACACAGGGGAAACCGAGGTACAGGGAGACCGCTGCCCCGAGTTACACAGAACCTATTGATTGTGGAAACTCCATGACCTTTCTAAATTGCAGCGAGCAGTTCCTCTGCCTTCCTTTCCTCCATCATTTCCCAAGCTTTGTTTTCAAAAAATGTATCTATTTCTTTGAGAGAGGCAGGCATCCCTAACAGGGTCCTCATGTCATATCTGCCCCCAGTTTCAGTCACCCCAGATCATGGGCGTCATGTGACTGCATGCCTGGTGTGCTAGGGGAAGTCTTGGGACACGAACTCAGGACCTCCCCATATGGGTGCATTTGTGTTGACTGCTGTGCCACCAGCTGGCCCCCAGGCATCTGTGTCTGACCTTCCCTGTAGCCTGGTAGTGACCTATTTCAGGGTTTTTGGATGGATTAAGGACTGAGTGGCCCCCTTTGACAGTCACAAGTCTCTTTTATAGCCTCTGTGCTTCCAACCTGTTTTCTTCCAGTTCAAGTGTTTTTGTTTCTTTGTTTGTTTTTTGTTTTGTTTTCTTTTGTTTTTTTTTGAGAGGTTTTTGCTGTAGGGCTCATGCACTCGCCAGAAAGACACAGAGAGACAGAAAGTGAGAAATCAACCCAGGGGGCAGGCCACGCTGTAATTCCTTCTCCTTCGTTCTCCTCTTGGAATCTGGGGCCCATGAGTTTAAGCCCCCGGGTCCCAACCGGGGTCAACTACGTGGGAGTCCAGCGTCATAGCCATTACACCAACTACTGGTCCCCAGTTCAGGTTTCTGCCTCCCAATCAAAGCTCCATCCTACATCACAGTCCTCGGGAGTATCTTGCTCACCTGATACATAAATCACTTCACAATTAAGAAATTACAAAGGAACTTGCCCAGATCTCTCATTAGACTGTATAGCTGTTCATTAGATTAAGCTATTGGGTAGCTTAATTCCTACACGGTGAGGAAGCACTTTCCACATCAACCCTGAGAAAGACCTGGGCTCCATGATAGTGCGATGGTCAGTTGGTGCTGTCTTCCTGGGCTTTGGGAGAGGGTGGAGAGAACAACAGCACTAAGGGCTGGGGGGAAGAGAAGGTGACTGCCACTCCTTGAATTCAAGCTGTTTATGGGAAAGGGTGAGCTCGAAACGGAATTCTTGTTCCTGTGATTGGACCCAAGGGTGGCTAAGGTGGGGATTCAGAAGAGACGAGATCTGGGCACTGAGAAATGGGGCTGAGAATGCAGGGCAGGGTACAATCGTTCTGCAGACTCTGTACCTCTTCTGGGCTGGGCACTATGCTTGGCAGTGGAGATACAGACACAAGAGAAAGGTATCCAGTCCCTGCCCCGGGGAGCCAGAGACTCCTGGGGAGATAACGAACACTAGGTGGTGCCCATAGAGCCTGGTGACCAACAAGCCGCAAGGAGCCAGAGGGCCTGGGCTGTGGTTCCTCTGACCAGCACTCTGTTGCCTCAGCAGAGCTCAGAGGGGCAATTTGGGGAGCTCAGCTGCGGAGGGCGGGGTGGGGGTGGGTGGGGTGATGTGGTGTCGAGGTCAGGGGGCAGGCTCTGATTCTGGCGCTCCCTGCTTTCTTGGAACACCCCACCCTGTTTGTTCCAAGACTGCTTCGGTTCTTGCCCAAACCCAGATTCAGTTTCTCCCTTTGCTAGAGAAGTCAGCCTCTCCGAGGAAGGGGCTGCTGCTAGAACCCTTCGCTGAGGCCACACCATAGCAGGCACCCAGTCCACATCAACACATGGGGTGGTCGGCACATGGGATACATGGGATAATCATTGACTGCCATTTGTAAGAGCCCAGGCGTTCTGGAAGGTTCCAAGAGCACAGAGATCTGAGGCTTAGGCTTTTAGAAAGTTACCGACCTGTTTGGGGAGCCTTTGTCTCTGTGATGGGGAAGAGGCATCCCACTTCCTGGGTTCAGGGTGGTCTCACTGCTCGAGTTCCACAACTCGGTTTTGAAGGAGGAGCATTGGCCCTCACCCTAGGAATGCTTGGCTGGACCACAGAGCAGGGTCGGGTCGAGGCCTCATTGGGGGCACAAACAGGCTCTGAGGGGCCAGCAGACATGCACGAGATGGAAAAACTTGGCTCGATTGTGCCCAAGGACGCCGTAAGGCCAGGGAGGGGCTGTTACCACCAACTCTTCCCCGTGGCCTGGCAGCCCCGGACTCACCCCCACCCAATTCATGAGTCATCGATGGGAAAATGAGACAGGGCAAGTCTCAGCTGAGCAACTGGGAGTCCAATGAGATGGGGTGGGGAGGCTGAGGGGAGAAGGGATGGGCTCGTTCTGGTCAGGGTAAGCTGGGGTTGGGAGCTGAGGCTTTGGCAAGAGCCAGCCTGTTGCAAGAGTGAGAATGGAGATGAGTGCAGAGCTGGAGTCAGTCCGTGGGCTGGGTCTGCAGCAGGTCCACGGGACAGCACGGGGCTTGAAATCTATTGGGATGTGTAGGCACCACCCCACCAGGGCCAGGAAGAAGGATCCAGGCAAGGCTGGGCCCAGCTGTGTGTGCCAAGCTGCCATGACCTGCACAGAGAGCCCTGGTTTGGTCCCCAGGCTCCTGCTCCGGTGTGTCCACATGCCCAGCAGCCTTCTGTCCAGAATGTAATTAATTCTGTTAAAACTGCCAGGAGCTTCCAAAATCTTTTTGGAGAGAGACAGAGAGAAGGAAAGTGAGAAATCATCCCCTGGAGGGATAATCATGCTATAATCCCATCTCCTCCATTCTCTCAGGATTTGGGGCATGCACACACATGTGACTGGCATGTTTTTGGGTTTTTTTTTGGGTGTGAGGGACATTTTGGAGAAGTTTTTGCTAGAGGGTGCATACGCTTGCCAGAAAGAGACAGACAGAAGGCAAGAAATCATCCCTTCGGGGGGTGGGGGGGACGGGGATGGCCACACCACAGTCCCTTCTCCATTATCCTCTTGGGATCTTGGGCACGCAAGCATACATGCCCGATCTGAGTTTCAGCCACCAGGTCCGGGACTCGAACCGTGGTTTACTACATGGGAGTCCAGCAACATAGCCATTATGGCTTCTGCTGGTCCCAATGGCTGGCATGTTTTTAAAGCCTCTGTGTTCAGGACTAGAACTGTGCTGTCAACCACGTGGGATCCAGCACCTTTTTATTTTATTTTTAGAGAGAGATTTTTTCCTATAGGGCATGTATGCTGTCCAGAAAGACAGAGAGAGACAGAAAGCAAGAAATCACTGAGTCAGTTGGAACCAGTCTACACTGGTCTGTCCTCATTGGAGCTGGTCAGAACCAGTTTAGGCCTGTCTGAATTGACCTGAGCCAGTTGGGAAAAGTCTGAACCAGTCAAAAACAATCATAACTGGTTTGAGTGGGTCAGAACACATCTGAGCCAGTCTGAACTGGCATAAACTAGTTTGAATTGGTCTGAAGTGGTCTGAGCTACCTACAGCTAATCTCAACCTGATCAGAACTAGTTTATGGCAGTAAAAATCCATATGAACCAGTTTGAACCAGTCCAAACTGGTATGAGTCACTTGGAGCCAGTTTGAATTAGTGTGAGCTCGTCGGAATAAGTCTCAACTGGCCAAAATCTGGTCAGAGCTGACTTGAGCCAGTCTGTACCAGTATTAGCCTATCTGAGCCTGTCTGAGCAGGCATGAGCCTGTGTGAAACCGTTTGTGCCAGTGGGAACTTGTTTGAGCTAGTCAGAACCAGTCTATTGCAGTACAAACCTGTGGGAGCCTGCTGGAGCAAGTTTCAACTGGTTTGAACCAACTTGGACAAGTGTAAGTCAGTCTGAACCATTTTGAGCTGTTGGAACTACCCTGAACAAGTTCAAGCCAACCCAAACTCCTTGAAACAAGTTGTTTGGATCTCATTTGAGTCTATCAAAAAGCAGTCTGAGCCTGTTAGAACCTGTCTGAACCTCTATCAGCCAGTCCGTTCCTATCAAAACATGCATGGACTGGTTAGAACTGGCATAGTCAGTCAGAATTAGCCAAAGCTGGTTTCAGCTGTTTGGAACTGGTTCGAGCCTGACAGAGCCCACATGAACTACTCTGAACTGGCTATAACCACATGAGTCAATCAGAACTGGTATAAACCAGTTAAAACCAGTATGAGCCAGTCAGAAATGGTATGAGCACATTGGAATTTGTATGGACCAGTTGGTACCAGACAGAACTGGTGTGAGCTGTCAGAACCACTATGGGCTGGTCTGAGCCAGGCACAACCAATGAGACCATCAGGACTAGTATATTCTAGTCAGAACTGGCCAGAACTGTGTGTGCCAGTACTTATTAGCAATGGTCAGGAACCAGAGACCAACAGATGGCATAATGGCTATATCACTGGACTCCCATGTAGTCAACCATGGTTGAAGTCCCAAACCCAGTGGCTTAAACTCGCGCCAGACGCATGTGTGCATGCCCAAATCCCGAGAGGAGAAGGGATTGTAGCGTGGCCATCCCCCCTGGGGGGTGATTTCTCGCTTTCTGTCTCTCTGTCTTTCTGGCAAGTGCACGCACCCTATAGCAAAAACCTCAAGAAAAAGGAAGGAAGAAAGGAAGGAAGGAAGGAAGGAAGGAAGGAAGGAAGGAAGGAAGGAAGGAAGGAAAGAGAGAAAGAGAAGGAAGGAAGAGAAGAAAGGAAGGACGGAAGGAAGGAAGGGTCCGAAA